TTCCATTATTTAATAACCCTCCGATTTGAATATGCGATACCTGTGCATTCTCGCACCATAATCGAAGAGTGATTAAATTGGGGCGTCTTTCATACCTCAAATTTGCCCGCCCTTAGTGTTACCATCAAATTTATTTTCGAACTTGGATTTTAAAATTCCTTTGGTATAATTACATTAACATTTTGGGGTTTTAATAAATATTCTCTTTCAATTCTGTTTAAAAAAAAATATGTTAAATTATTTATATTTTTAAAATAACAGATGATTGTTCGCCTTCATATAATTTCAATTGGCTTTTTATTTCAAATAAGTAACATAACACAGTTGGTAAGGGAGAAAGACTTGCAAACAAAAGGTCATGAGTTCGAATCTCACTTGGCGCACTTTGGATATTTTTGTTGTTTATTGTTACTAACTTTATTTTCATTTTTAATTATTTCTAACCACAAAAATCATATTTTTTATTATTAAAATACTATTTTCGTTTTTATTTTAGTATATTTTAAATAAATATTATATTTATTAAAATCATTATTTTATTTTAAAAATATAGTCAAAATACCTTATAAATAAATAAAATATTTTCAAATCAATTTTTCTTTATTATTGCACATGGACACAAATATGTCCAAATTCTTAATCTTGCTGGCCAAGATAAGAATTTGGGCTCTGGGTATTGGTGTTGTACCCCAAAATTTTCCCTCACATTTTTCTCAAAGCATTCTTTCAAGGCTCTTCAAATAGTCAAGACACTCAAGGGTTGACTAGTCAATATGCACCTCCTAAACCAAAGGCCTACAACTAGGGTTTGGAATTTCTCAAAGAAATTTGGTTTGAAAAGGTCTTAAGTGGCTTCCATGGTTCTTCATAGGTCCTAAAAAAGGTTGATGTCAAGTTTTAAGCTATACACCACAAGTTTGCTCAGTCAATGACCCAAATGTTTGAAAATTAACTATATTGGTCAAAAAGTCAATTATGGTCAACATACAATCAAACTTCAATATTTTTGGTCAAAATCAACATTTTGAAGTGGTATTCATCATTTGATCAAGGATTAATCATGATTCCCTAAGGAAAGTCCTCAAATCATCAAAAGTCAAGATTTGTCAAATTAGGGTTTCCTTAGGAGAGATCAACTGAACTTTGACCATGCATAACTTTCACATGCTTCATTGAACTTTCCCCAACCAAAGCCCATTTTGAAGAAAAATCAATTCTCTGCAACTTTACTTTTATACTCAAGTCCAAAAGATGCTTCATTTGAATGATATGATCTCATACATTATAGGTCATTTTCAAAAGTCAACAAAAGACACTTTTTGTCAAGGCAATTTACATCAAGATAATGTCTTCAAAAGCACAAATGGTCAACATAGAGATTATGAAGGAAATCTTGGGCTTTCCAAAAATTCCAAGATAATCTTCAAAAGGTGAGAATTGAGCAAGTTATGAGTTGCACAAATTGGGGAATTTTAAAGAAATTCAAGAAGTACAAATTGAGCAAAATTGCAATTTTGAGCCAATGGGCCTAGTTTTTGGTCTTCAAACATGTCCATAATATCTTAGAGGATCTCTAAGTCCATTTTTGCATGGTCTTGATTTTTATTTATATTTATCTTGGTTTTATTTAATTTAAAATCAAATAAATTAAATAAAAATATAAGAAATACTGGGCTAAGGCATTTGGGCTTGACTTGATCCATCATGGAGCCCAAGATTTGTGCAAGATACATGGAACATGACCAGGTTCATGCAGAAAGAAAAAGTGGCAAGAATCATATAATTTTGGCATTTTTTCAGATTTTTTATTTTGATTTTAAAGCCATGGTTAAGAATTGATTCTTTCCATGTTGGTCTGCTCTCATCCTTACCTCTATAAATACAATACCATACAAGCCAAAAAGACAGGCGCAACCTGCCTCACACAAACCCTAAAAGTGTTCAAAGTTTTCAAAGGATAATGCAAGTTCATATCACGTGATCCATCCATATTCAATCTATTCCAGGGATCCTGTCTTCATCCTGAGATTCCCAGGGTTTGTTTCCAATCATCCCTCAAGCTAAATCGTGCCCAGAACATTCACCTCCAAGTGCACCGTTTGGTAAAGCTTTCGTGAATCTAAACTCATTACTCGTGCAATATAAATAAATTATATATACATACATGTGTTCATACTAATATTTGTGACTGTTTAGAATCATTACATGTGAGGTTTGATGCCGGGATGAGAAAACACCATTGTTAAGGCGTGAAGCTTCTGCTTCGTTGTATCTCTTTTCACATGCATTTTCAGGCTAAATGGAGGGCACCAATGAGTTCACAGACCCCGGTTTAGGGGGTAGCCTCGATCTATGGTTCTGAACCTTGTTATCTTACAGGATAAGGTTTTGGGGACGATTGGAGAAGGAGGAGGTCAACCACCATGCGTGGTGGTTCGACCCTCCCCAAGCCTGCGTGTCAAAATCCAGTATTTTGATTCGTTCATTCAAAATAACAGGGCCCCATTGGGGCGCGCATTTTTTAATTAAATAATTCTAATTGATTTAGTATTATAATATTATTATGTTATAATATTAACAAATGAGCAGAGTGATCCAGTGGTAGCAAGCGCGCGTTTAAGGCCTTCCTCTCTTAGAGCCCGAGTTTGAATCCCAAGTTTTTCAATTTTGGTGCTTCAACATTTTTTTTGCAGGTTATTAGGCACTTGGGCCTTCTTACTTTTGGGCTTAGAGATTTCAGACTTACACCCCCCCCCCCCCATTTCCTGTTGCCATGCCTGGGCCTTCTCATTTTGGGCCTAAGAATTTCAGATTCTCACCCCTCTGATTACTCTTTGCAGCATAGACCATTATTATTATTATTATTTTTATTTTGTTTGGTTTAATTTACTTCGTTTTCTTTTTTTTAATTAATTAATTTCAAAATCATAAAATCATAAAATCACAAAAAATAATTAGACTTAGATTTTTATTAATTAAAATTAATTTTAATTAATTAATTTTAATCACTTTCTTTTCTTAATTAATTAGAATTAGGGGTTTTCTTAATTTAATCATTATTTTTCCTAAACAAAAAAAAGCAACCAAAAAAATATTTCTTTTATCACTTAGAGATTTTTTAGGGCTTTCTCTTCTCCGCGTATTTACTTATTTTATTCGCACTATTTTCACAATTATGTAATTGCATATGGGGTGTAATAGACTTTAATCTAGGACCCTTTACACTTTTCTTTTCCCATTTTTGGTTTGTAATTTCCCCCATCCCGAAGTATTGTAATAGCGTAGATTTAAATTTCTGCACTTTATTTTCCTTACTGATATATTTAACTGCTAGATATATGCTTAATAGGATTGCATGATAAGACTTGAAAACAAACGGTAGAAAACCTAAATGTTTAAAGATAAATAATTGAAACACAACACACTCACACATGCACACCTCTAAGGTACCTCCACTTGTTGCCTTCGAAATAAATAGGCACGTCTCTCGAATGTAGGAGATTTTAGCATTGACCCTTTGGTTATAAGATCATAAGTCCCTCGATGACCCTTTCGACGTTGCCTCGATAAATGATCTTAAAACCTTAGGATAATTTCTAAAGTATCTTATGAGTTGCTTTGGTGACTATACGATGACCCTCGCTTGTCCCTCAAAACATCCAACAATGGGGCTACCTACTGACTAATAGTAGGATAGCACCGTCTAAAGGAAAAGAGGAAAAGAACAAAGACCGTTCAAGTAGGTAGACCGCTTATAGTTGCTTGCTCACAAAAAGCAAATAAAACAATTTTTTTACACATATACAAACCCTTTTCTAAATTATTTTAAAGACAAAAAACACTTTGTATACGTTCTCAACTAAAAGAGAAACATTACAAAGTTCTTCGCACTAAGGCGTCTTTTCAAAAATATTTTCAAAACACACAAACACAAAGCATTTTCAAAGTGAGCTAGCAACTAAGAGCCCGTAGATAACTACAGATGGAAATGGTGCTAACACCTTCCCTTTCCATAATCTACCCCCCAAACTCATAATCTTTAAAAAGGTCTTTCCTGTTCTTTTCACAATTTTCTTTATTGGATAAAAGAAAAGTCGGTGGCGACTCTTGCTAACCGCAACACTTGCGATAAAAAATGTAAAACCAGTAAAGTCAGTTTTTCCACTGTATTACAATTGGATAATTTCTTTTTTGGGGCTTAACCTAATCTTTTTCACTTATAAATAACCCTCAAAGTTTAAACTTGAGGATCATCCACAGACACACACAATTCATCCATAAAATCCATGATTTTTCACAAACCACAAAAACTAGCTTTTTTTCTTTCTTTCAAACTCTTATACTTCTTATTCTTGGTTTATTCTAGGGTTGTTGTCTACATCAGACAACAACAATTTCTTTATTTTTGACCAAATATATTATATGAGGCCCCACCCTTTTATTTATAATTTTATAATTTTTCCATGTGATGAATCATATGATAGATTTGTGTACCAAATTTTGTATACAAATATATTTGGATCACATGTTTTCTTTATAGTTTTATATACTTACATTTTAATCTTTTTTTAATTTTATATACAAACATATTTTCTTTATATTTTCGTTAATTTTATATACTAACATTTTAATCGTTATAATTTTATATACAATCATTATACATGTACACGTTGTTCTTCTTACCAAAAACCTCTCTCTCAATAAAGTCATTTTTGTACATTCACAAAATAATAATTTCGTTATAATTTTATATACAATCATTATACATGTACATGTTTTCTTCTTACCAAAAACCTCTCTCTCGATAAAGTCATCTTTGTACGTTCACAAAATAATAATTTTTCTCCAAAAAAACCCCACAGTCACTTGTACATACAATACATTTTCCACAAAATAAGACTTTTGTTCTTTTGAGTCAAACTGAGGAAGCCTATACATTTTTGTAACACCAAGTCCAAATCTCCACCATTAACCCCACTTTAATATACCATTTCTACAAGATGTTTTTTTTTTTTTACACCAACCTCTTTATATATGGTAGGCCGCTTATTACTGTTTGGATAAACACTATTTCGACTCTTTTCAATTACAAAAGTTTTACAGATTTGATTTCAGTTTGCACAACAAAAACAATAACAACAAAACAGATAATGCAAATTTGTACAAAGTTCCTTCTGTCTTTTTTTATGTGCAGAAAATGGAGAGAAGCGAGATCAAAATCAGACACCATGGAATCCAATTCACGCCGTCGAACTGCAGTGCTCCACAAGCTTTGCGCGAAGCCGCTTAGCCATCTCGTGTCTGATCCTCACTGTAAGCCGTCATACTCCTTCTGCACTACAGCACCGGTGAAGCTCCTCTCCTCGCATCATCGCCGGACAAACACACTTCCGAACTCCGGCACTGGCCAACATCCAACATGAAGAGCCACCTTCCTCCGCTGCGAAGACGACCACAACCCAGATTCCTTTGTCGATTCTGCGACCTCCCTCCACCTGCAGTAAATCGGATCTGAGCCCATTGTCAACCTCTGTGCGAACAGCATCTTCGATCGACCATCGTCAGGTTCCTCTATCCTTGTCTCTTTCATGTTTCCTATTTTTATTATGCTAATTTTTTATGTATTGTTTATTAGAACTATGGTTGTTGTCATTGGTTATTTGAGAAGAAGAAGCAACAACAAGAAGAACGGGAATAAAAAAGGGGTGAGAGAAAGAGGAAAAGAGATGGTCACGTTACTGTCTTTGTTTATACTATTATTATTTTCTGTCTTTTTTATTTTATTATTATTTCTCCTTGCCACTTGTCAATCACTTATTGGTTTAGTTGTAGAAGTGGAAAAGTAAAAAATAATTGTTTTTTTCTTCTCTGAGATGCACCGCCCCGTCTCCGTGAATTTCATTTTTTGTTTATTTGAATTATGTTAAGTAATGGTTTTTTCTAGGTCAGTATAATTGGGATTTTATTGGACTTTTCTATTAGTTTACTTATGTATATCCTCAATCCATGCCCACACCCCCTAACTCATTCATTTGATTTGGTCATTTAGTCCTTATTTAATTATTCGTTTTAAATTAAACCTTTAAGTTAATTTAGTTTATTTTATTACATTCATTTAGATTTTTTAGTCTAATTTTATCATTGATACCAAAAACAAATTCTTGTACAAAAAATCAAACTTTTCAAATCAAACTAATTCAAACATTCTATATGTAATAGGATGTCCATCTCCGAGTAATTAAATCGATCGACGCATTGTCTACCTGTTTATTATTAAAAATCAAACAATTAAAAATCATACAACTCACCAATATGCGACACATGGCTAATATCTGACCATGTGATGAGGAGATTATATCAGACTCACCGCTCTATGTCTCAAAACAGCTAACCAACGATAAAACATTTTTATACTAACATAATAAAAAAAATGTTTTTGAAAAAAGGATTAAGGAGAATTTTCTTTGAAATTAACTGCGAACTACGTCTACGCTCACACAATTTTAAACCCAGACAAGGTCCAATGATAAGTTCGAAAGCAATTCTACGCAATCCTATAAAAAACACAAACCAACTGTGAACTACGAAATGAGACTCTTATTCATGCTAAGAGGATACGTAGGCATACGATTAAAATCGTGGCAAGTTCCCATAATAAAATATTAAAACCATATTTCCTAAAATTACGCTTCTAAACCTAGTATCCTTGTGAACAAGGTTGATGATGGGTGCCTAACACCTTCCATTCATCTAGAACCGAGTCAACAACCTAGAATCTCTAACTTTTAGAGTTATTCATTTATATTCCCTTCCTTAGGATAAAAATTAAGGGTGGCGACTCTGTATTTAAAAACCAGTTACAATAGCTGACGACTCTTTTGGGGAATCAACCCTAAGGTTAGAAGCCCCTCTTTAGATTTAGAGTTTTAGGGTTTTTCTATTTTTGTTATTTTCTTTACAGTTATTTATTTTGGTTTATTTATATTTTTATTTTGATTTACTATCATGCTACAATGAGGCACCTCTTAAGGGAGGCCCTTAAGCCTTTACCTCTAGTGTTATCCATGACACCCTTAAGGAATCCATCTTATGGGGAGGGTAGAATATACGTAGGCCGAAACTAGGAACCTACGTACTAAGGAAACTATTGTCATTCTGTCCTTCATAGGAAACCTTCCCACGAGGGATATTCTATTATAATTTTAAACCTATGTAGGGTTACCTCTTATCATTATTGTCATTATGCTATGTGCATGCATGTGCGGCATCAGAAGTTCCATTGTGTTGTCTTACGAAATCGTGACGCTATAGAAACAACTTAACTAGCTTGCTCTTGCATCACATTCATTATTATTCATGCAATTGCATTACCTCTTTGGTAATGTTTTATGCTTGTTATCTATTATTATTTTTGCATCATTACATATATATGGGGATATGTAATTGTATACTCTTCTTTACAAAAATGACTATGTGTGATATATTAGTATTGGTATTGAAATATGGTGCTTCTCACAATTTACCTTCTTTCTTTTTGATGTTGTCAAAGGGGGAGAATAATATGCGAGATGAAGATGGAAAGCACAAAGTCAGGGGGAGCCTTTGATAACTACATGAAATGCATCGTCACAAGTTTTGTCATCATCAAAAAGGGGGAGTTTGTGAGTGCAACTTCACTATTAGGTATTTTGCATGATGTCAAAACTCGGAAATCTAGCATTTCAGTTTGGTGGACGATATCCTTATGTCTTGTGGTACTCCTCTGTATTATAGGTCTTAGGAATCATCAAAAAGTACTTTGAAATTGACCCAACACATTGAAAAATAGTTTCTGCATGTTTTTGCATTGCATGTGTCGACACATTCGATTTTTAGGTCGACACATGTAACTTGGTTTTTAAGCCTGTAAGCTTCTCTAAGTCACAGGTCGACACATACAACCTTCAGATCGACACATACTGAAAGATTTCTGAAATTTCAGAAATTCTTATTTTATATGTCGACACATCCATATTTCAGGTCGACACATTTACTCACATTTTAAAAACTGTAGCTTCTAACTTATTCAGGTCGACACATAGAGTTCTTCAGGTCAACACATGCATTCTTTTTATAACGTATGTATCGACACATACGAATTTGAGGTCGACACATAAAGTCTGTTTTGGTCAAATTTTCAATTTCTTTTATTCTGAATTTGTGCTTTTTGCCCTAAATGTTTCCAACTATAAATATATCATTCATGCATCATTCAAACTTGATGATACCATAAAATTAGCCTACATTTCCTCTTCTTCAACCTTCCAATCTATGCATACACACCAACATTACATTGTGATGATGTTCCGTTGGGGTTCCATCTAGACGAAGAATTATGGATTTCTAATTGGTTTGGGTTGAGATTTGTAGGGGTCTTCATCCAGGAAAAACCATCGGGGTTATCCTCCAAAATCATTTGTTGAATTGGGTTTTTTTTTGTGTAAGATCGTGCGAGAAGGAATCATCCATGTGAAAAATCCCTTGGAGTGTTTGAAGTCTTTTCAAGGAACCTTATAGTGTTTGAGATCTTTTTTATAAAGTAGCAAGGATTGGATGATAGAATCTATGATCTTGTATTGATAGTGTGCAATCAAATTCACTCGAGTGAAAAATCCCTTGAAGTATTTGAAATCTTTGCAAGGAACCTTGCAGTGTTTGAAATCTTTTCAAGAAAGTAACTTAAGCGGAGAATAGGTTGTATATATCGGTCTTGGTCTTGTTGAAGATCAAAAGAAGAGAAGGGGTTGAATCAACATCAAACAGTTAAGGTTTGTAGGATTGCTCTTGAACACTTCTCTTGTAACCATACTTTTGCAAAGTAAGAAATTATCCTAATTCCAAATTTGGAATTGGGGGGGGGGGGGGGGGGGGGGGATGTAGCCATAGAGAGGATGATTGGTGAACTTCCTAAAAAAATCCTTGTGTCTCTTTTCTTTTATTGCTTTACTTGCTTTAATCTTTATACATCTATTTGTCAAATATCATTGAGTAATTTATCAATGCGTAGGAATTTTAAGAAACATTTTTTTATTTTGAATTGTGTGTTGAGTTGCTTATAATCACTTTTGATTATAAGTGCTTTTTCATATCAACACAATACAAAAGAAAACTCTAAAACTTTGATTGCACGTCAAGTGTTTGACAAATTGTTTAGCTTGTTTAATTCAAAGGAAAATTACAATGTTCTATCTGTGACTTTCATTTACTCTCTAAATGCAATGTGTTGAATGTGTTGTTTGATCGATTGACTCATATAAAATTTATATTTGATTATTAAAGTTTAAATTGATTTGTTGATTAGCTTATAATCACTTTGATAGTAAGTGCTTTTGCATATCAATGAATCTCAAATAAAATTCTGAAAAATTTATTATGCGCCACATGTTCAATATTATGTTTTTAATATGATTTCATTGGAAATAGGAAACCGTTGTGTTGGATATTAAACGGTTAATTGAGATATTATTATGTTGATTGATTTTATCATTATGTTAATTCCATATGGCTTGTGCATATCCGAGTTTCCAATAACTAGGTTCATTTAGACTACTATATTGATCTAGGCCAAAAATCTTTCGCTCAACATTGTTTTTCAAATAAGTTTTAAATGATCATTTTGAAAGGTAGTTTTTATTTGGGGATCTATTTACCCCCCTCTAGATCTGGTTCCATAGTCTAACAAGTGGTATCTGAGCTACAGTTAATTCCGTGCTTCGAAACTTTTAATAGAAAATGACGTACGAACCTAAAGAGATTTACAAAACAATCCCAATTTTTTTTGAAAGAAAACTATAGTTATTAGAAAGCTTGTATGCATATTTATGTTAATTCATATGAGAAGAATATGTGTGACGCTGTTACTCAAAACCATGCTAATGGCGTTGTCACATCTAAGCCGAAAGCACTATGGATAGTAATGATAAAAAAATTCATTAAATCTCATTAATTGTTTGAACACACTAATCTTATTTGCAATGAAATTGATATTAACAAAATTGTGAGATGTATTACTAGGAATTGGAAATCAAAGATCATCGTGATCAAGGAAGCTAATGATCTTACCACACTTAATCATTACACTGTTTGGTAAGTTTGAAGAACATGAGCAAGAACTTACTTGCTTAGACAAGCATGAGAAAAAGCTTGAGAAGAAGAATAAAAAGGAGAAAGACATGAATAAAGAGTAAAGAACAAAGTCCAAAGCTCTTAGGATGTCAAGTTCAAGGTCCTCAAATTATGAGCATGTAATACGATAGTGATTTTAGTGATGATGAAGATTTAAATTGTCACTATGGTTGTATTGCCCAAATGCAACCAAATGTTTCACTAATCCCCATGGACTCAATGAAGATTGAGTATCTAGCTTGCCTTGTTGTTTTGTAGGAACATTATCTTGACTCTATGAAGAGAATATGAATTCTCATTTATGGTGGATCAAGACATATGAATATATTCTAATTCTATTGAATATCGAGAAAGATGATGGATTATGTGATCTAGAAAGCAACAACAAGTTTCATTTTATTGGCAAAATATGTGTAAGTTACTTTGGATGTTGTATCCGAGAATACTCGAAAAAGGTATTTCATTTCATGATGTAGGTTTATCTTCAAGAGGCATACTCAATGGCCTCGAAGAAGGTTTTGATCAACATAAATT